CGAGATATCGTTTCGTGTCATATCCGACTCGTAAATAATTAATTTATTATGTAGCCCTGCTCGCACACTCGCGCACGCATCTAAGCCGTTATTTACGCCATATCCGTGTGAACGTTAATCCGAGTAAGTAAAAAAAAATTGTATCGGTTAATTTCATGCAAAAGTTATACTTGAAGACGAATGATTTGCCGATTTACAGTATACTATTATGTTATATATGAAATACAAACAAAAATACATACAAACTTCATAACATATGAATCACACAAAGAAATCACACAAGGTATAAGTTACCAACTGCACAAACCAACTTTGGTGAAAAATAACAATCTTTACTCGAACTCAGTTGTTTGGATGACCAAAGATTAAAGAAATCTATTATATTTGAATCGGTGGAAAAATTAGAAAGAAATATATAATTTTGAGTCAGTTTGTCTCATTCTTTGCGAATTCAGAGGATTAGTTTTGGGAGTTGTCTTTTCTGAAGTATTTATTCATATTTTTTTCTTACCAGTTTAACTGTTAATTCTTTGATTTGAAAGCTTTTTCTCAGTTAGAAAACTATATATAAAGCTCTCTCTCTCTCCCTCTCTCTCTCTCTCTCTCTCTCTCTCTCTCTCTCTCTCTCTCTCTCTCACTCTCCCTATCTATCTATTCATCTCTGCCTCTCTGTCACTCTCCTTCTCACAATCTCTCTCTCTCTTTCATTTTCACCCTCAAATTGTCTCTGCCCCCCTCTCTCTCTGTCTATCATCTATCTCACTTTCCCCACAACACATACTCACTCTCTCTCCCTTTCTCACTCTCTCGGTTTCTTTCTCTTTCACTGCCTCTTTACCCACTCTCTCACTCTCTCTCTCTCTCTCTTTCAATCTCACCCTTTCTCTCACTATCTATCCATCTAACTACATATTTATTTATCTTTCTCCCTCTCTCTCACCCTCTCTCTCACTCTCTCTCTCTTTCTCTCTCTCTCTCTCAGTCTCCCTCTTTTTTCTCTCACTCTCCCTATCTATCTATTCGTCTCTGCCTCTGTCACTCTCCTTCTCACAATCTCTCCCTCTTTCATTTTCGCCTTCAAACTGTCTCTGTCCCCCTCTTTCTCTTTCTATCATCTATCTCACTTTCCCCACAACACATACACACCTCACTCTCACCCTTTCTCACTCTCTCTGTTTCTTTCTCTCTCCCTGCCTCTTTACCCACTCTCTCACTCTCTCTCTATCTATCTCTCTCTGTCTTTCAATCTCACCCTTTCTCTCACTATCTATCCATCTAACTACATATTTATTTAACTTTCTCCCTCTCTCTCACCCCCTCTCTACCTATCTATTATCTATCTCTATCTCTATTTATCTATCTACCTATCTATCTATCTCTATCTATTTACCTATCTCTCTATCTATTTATCTATATCTCTATTTATGTATCTATCTACCTATCTCTGTCTGTCTGTCTATCTGTCTGTCTGTCTGTGTCCCTCTCTCTCTCTCTCTCTCTCTCTCTCTCTCTCTCTCTCTTTCTCTCTATAAATACTATACGGCCTCTTGGGCACAAAGGTACCGTCATTTTTATTAACGTTGATGAATCAGTTTGAGCCAATTGTTTGTTGTCTTTAGGACTAGTAGGCAGAAGATACTTTTAAGGTACCCAAACGATTTTCCATGACCTTTGATACCGCATGCCAGAAAATACGGTTCTACGGGGAAATTTTGGAATCGCCGGAAACTGAGTATAAATGTCTCATAAACGGGGGTTTTATTTTTCTTCATGCGGTGCCCAATTTCCGAGAAAATGTATGAGTTAATAATAAAATTAAATACTTACAATTAGATGTAACCCTGGACAAGAAGCTTATTTCTCATATAATGAAAATGAGACTTCTAAAAAAGGGACTAATTAATTTATCTAATTTTACAATTTAATATTAAATTTGGTATGTTAAAAATGTTAATTTGGTTTTTGTTGCTTTTATTTTGGACATGTTGTATTTTACAAAATGTTGACTGTTTTCAATCGTTGTTACTTATTGTATTTCTTATTTTTTATCGTTGATTATTGTACACATAGAATTGCGAAATAATACTACAGCAATCCCATAGGGTTCTGAAATCTCTCGTTTTCATTCCTAAACATTTTCAAAAGCACTGGTAGTTTTAATATCTAGTTTTATGTTTTTTAAGAGTCACCGCAAATTCAAAGAGCTCTCCTTCGTTTAGATTCGCGGTTTTTTTAAGCAACAGTAAATTATTGAGGCAAAATTCAGAAGAAATAACCTGTTGGGGCATCGTGTTAAATATTAATCCAATCCAATTAATAATAAAGTATTCATCCTCACTACTCTTCACGACCTTAAAACAGACATAAGTTTGCAGAAGTCACACACTGAAGATGGCAGTATCGAAACACGTGTAACAAACAACCCAGCGAGTGTAGGCAGACTCAGTATCTGTAACGACCAATTTTCAGGTTCATCACCCCTCCAGATTACTTAGAGAAATGTCACAATAACTAGAACTCCAATTTTTATTTGGTGAAGCTGTTAAGATTTTTGAAAATAGAATCGACTATATCATTACATAGGTAATATTAAGCAATCAAAACCATATTGTCCCAAGGTACAAAATGTCCCGAGGTCTCCCTGTTACATGCTGTTTCAGAGTAGAGCTTTTTTCCTAACTTATTCCCTTTTTCATTCGTTGTTTCTGGAAGAGCAAGAACACAATTTCAACAAATCTGAACAGGCCCTGTTTGGAATCGTTGGGACGACAAAAATTATGACAGTCGCCTTGGCCGGGGCGGACGCTCCCCGGCCAATATGATGAACGCCCGCGACTGAGTTCGGGACAATCCACAGCCTACTGTCCACAGATAACATCTCAGATATAAATCGGCCTCTCGGTCGGGGGTCGATCCTCTAAATAACACATCAATCCGGGTTGGCGGGGGAGTTGATTCATTGCGGGGAGCGTCGATGCGCGGGAGCCCGTGTTATGTTAATGCTCGCTGCGGGGTCCTCCCGGGTGCACTCCGACTTGGGTTCAGTTCCGGAATATTTACGGGATCCGGGCCCATCTGCATATCTGACGACTCCTGACTATTGTCCTCGCCGGCTACTCGTAATTCTCAGACGGGGTGATATGTCAACAGCCTCTGCCTCCTTTCCCCGGGCGCCCTTGTTGTAACCCGGACATGCCACATCCATCTATTGTTTCTTTGACTTTTTTATATTTTATTTTCAGTACAAAACTAAAAGGCTTCGTCTAATGCTACTTGTGGATCGACTGAGAGATAGAACCCGTCCAATAAAATAGAGAGTAACTCGTTATATCATTTCTGAACGTTTTAACTGCTTCTGTTTTATCTCGATGAAACAAAAAACATAATAAGTATATTGAGTTAATACAATAACTCGTCTCACGCTATCTTCTAACGGCTTAATAGAACATTCTTGTCCTTTTTTATTTTCAACAAACATAACATTGACAAATCACGTTTTCAATGTCTTTCTCCAGTTGATTAATATAATCAACAACAACAAACAAAATGAAAATGGCTACTTGGGAGGATAATAATGTCATGATAAACAGATAATTAGGAAGTGTTTAGGGCAGAGTGTAAATGTTTTTCTGGTAATCAACCCGTAATTCTTTCACCCTTATCAAAGTGAATTCAATTTTCTTAATTTACATTGTTGTATGTTGCTGGTATAATATGTTTATATTATATATATGTTTTGTTTTTATATTATATCACTACTTTCGAAAGCTCTCTGTATATCTATATCTATTTCCTAGATGGGGGGGAAAGGGCTGAAATTTTGATAGTGCATTCCTATAATAACATACAATAACATCCTATAATTCCGCTACTGACTGACAGAGAGCGCACAGGCCACACCCCTGGATCTAAAGGGTTGAAATTTCGGCAGTGCATTCCTATAAGAAGAAGGTTAGTCGCTGAGAAAAGATTTTTGGAGATTCCATCCCTAAGAGGTTCATATGGACAATTTTTGACTATGTATAGACCAAAGTGGACTAAACAAAAAAAGTTTAGAAACGAGGCATTCGAAAGCCAACACTCTACATTAGAAAGGGACATCTAAACGTCCCGCGTGGACGAAGTCGCGGGTAAAACTAGTACATGTGAGTAAAAATCATACAGTTATAAAATATTAGCATTAACTGATAAAATGGAACACATGTAGAGAAATAAATAACATATAGCTAAAGGTCGTCTGCGCAATAGTAGGAATTTTGGAAGAACCATGGCGGTTAGATTGTATTCAGTACTGACAAATAGCTCGTTGTGTGTTCCATTTTGCCAATTAAGAATTGACTAATTACTGATTTATATAAGCTCACATCTTCACACACACCTATACAGAGTTTAGCTTTCACTTTTCGAAGTACCCAAGCAATTCCAGATATGTCACCAGCTATGGCATTTCAGCCCCAACGCATGCAGTTCCTAGATTCAAAGGCATTCACACTATCACTCATTTTTAAACGCATTCTCTCATTTACAAACAATTCACTCAATTAGGGTTATGGAGTACTCGATAATCCTCCATCATCCTTTAGAGATATTATACAATTAACCTAATTGACGGTCGATGGGGTCTCAATATTCTGCCATCAACCTTCTCAGACTACAAATTCACTCTTAGCACACACTTGATATAATCACTTTACGTACTATTTTTAATTTAAAAAAAAAACACTGTTTCATCCAAAAAGCGAAACAGAGGATCCAGTTGCCATGCTGGAGCACGCGTATCGTATCTGGTGCCATTCCTACACGCTCTCTGTATGGAGCCAAGGAGTTGAACCCTTCAGTTAGGTGGGAAACATCGACCAATCTTCTCAACATGCCGAACACATAAACTGATTTTGGCCCAAAAGTGGCGGGACTGATAAGATCTAATATTGTTTACGCCGATCGCCCTTTTGAACCCTTCTGGATGTCTCCGGCTGGTCGGCGAGTCAGTTGTTGTCTAGAGTTACTACCGAAAACATCGTTAAACCCCGTGTTTGTGCGCAATATATTCTTTTCAATTGCCGTTGTCAAGTAAGCATTCGGTATCAAACGTCTGAATCCGCCGGAGACAGTGGGGCCCTGCCTAGTCGAAGAAAGAAGAGGACAACTGTTGCCGAATTGCTTGATCCCGTACCGAGACACGTTGTGGTAAGTGAAAATTCGAATTTATCCCAATCCCCTCCTCGGATTCACTCTTTCCCATTTTCTTTAATTTTGAATCCATTTAGCATGTAATATACAGTCCACTTAACGAACATAATATTATTAAGAAGTCTTAAGGTCTATTCTGTTCATATGTGTATGTATGTATGTATGTATGTATGTATGTATGTATGTATGTATGTATATGCTATTTTAATTTATTTGTATAAATACATTACACTCAAAATTTCATTTTTAAACAGAAGTAAAAAAGAAAATTTGGGGATATAGAATGAGAAAGCTTGGTTGGCAGGCAAATTTTATTTACTTATTATATAGCCATCGTTTATATTGAAATGCATAGCTATAATCGATCATTAAATTATAATCGATATTTTAAAAAAACCTGTACATCCAACAATGTTTTCACGTTGGAAAAGCCTATCTAATTTTGTAATGGAGAATGAAAGTTAAATATAACGTAAAGACTTGTTTTGATAACTAATAAATAAAATATAATAATTATAAAGCGAGTAATTCAATTAAAGAGATTCAATTAATTTGGGTATGAGCAAAAAGTTAAAGAAGCAAATATAATTAGGTTTGTCATCTGAGGTTTATTGTTTTCACAATCAGCGCAGTTATAGACAGCACAAAAATAAGTAAACAAATCCCTCAGCCTTAATTGTGATGTAAGGCCTTTGAACCGTTTTTTATTTTATTATTTAAATCGTAAAAAAATTTAATTTTAATTTTTTGGTCGGACGAAATTAAGAGACAAAAGAGATTTGAATGAGAGTGCATTCGTACGAGTCGCCAGGAAAGAAAAACGACCTCCTTCGGTGGTAATTCAATTCCGAGCCGAAATTTATATGAAATCTTTCTATTCATGTGTAACCAAACGTAATTGTAATTTAACGTTTCGCTCCTGAAAAAAACTATAAATCGTATCCGCCCTCTTTTGTTATTTATCGTAATTTCAATTCTCACACACCCTCCCCTCGGGGTTTTATTAATTTACTGTATGTCCACGGATTTTTGAGACAGCCGAAACGCGAAGGAACGAACACTCCTTTGCCGCCTCATGCCGTATATCAGCCTCGCGGCTAACCGTAATGCGCAATTTGCATGATCTCCCTCTCATGCATAAATAGGAGGAATTAAATTTACCCGAAGCACGCTAACAAAGTTGATTCATGCCGGCCGAATGCAAGGATTACCATAACTTTCTATTAGACGACCGAAAACTCGTAAATCCGAAGACTACCGAGCGTTAAAGAATAAATAAACAAATCGAGCCACAAGCTATTTGCTACACCTGTCTTCGGCCGACTAAGTGGAGCAAACAGATAAAATATTCATTGATTTCCACCGTCCGAGCACGATAATGTAATATGTTTTGCCGTTTTGTTTTTTATTTTCAGGTGCAAATAAATAAAAAGAATATTGGGACAAAGGAAATTCAGGCCAGAGCATCTGAATTTCACAGGATTGGGCTAATTAATCAGGATCATGGCAAACTTGATAAACATAGATTTCTTGAAACCAGACATCTACTTTGGTGGGAGGAGAATTATTGTTTTTTCTTCCCTTTTTGTTGGTAATTGTGATTTTTTGTCCAGGGTGTGAACTTACTATTGTGACCATTGGCTTTCTTAAAACCTCAAACTAGAAATATTTAAACGGAATTTTAGCAGTATAAGTTCGACTTTCTATCATTGTATTGTAATAATTACAGAATTTTTCACTCTCTTGGTGAGAAGATTAAATAATTATGAATTAGATGAGAGAAGTATATATTGAAAACAAATCAAGTTCTTTTGATTTTATGAAATATGGTTCAAGCTGTTCGATATTTCAAAAATAATAAAAAAATAAAACTGTTATTGCAAAAAAGCCATTTCGTCATTGTATTAAAATAAAATAAAGATTAACTTTTAAATAATAAAGTTTAACTTTTCTATTTCGCACTGTCACACAATAACATTTTCATATAATTTATTTTTTAAAGAACCTCAAATAAAATATTCTATTCGGCTCCAATAGAATAAACTAACATAAAAGTTATATGCAAATTCATTATTGACTTAGATCAATGGTGAAGTTTTTGTTTTTGAATACGATAAACTAAGAAAACTTCAACAATAGATGTTACGAGTTAAATGAATAGTGAAGAAGGAATACATATAGAAGCTCTATTACTAGATGCAAATATAAAAATGCAAGTGATACCAAACATATTGTATTCAAATAAATAGATAGGCTAAAAGAGGAAGAAAAGTAAAGGTAAGGTGCAGAGAGAGAGAGAGAGAGAGAGAGAGAGAGAGAGAGAGAGAGAGAGAGAGAGAGAGAGTGAGAGAGAGAGAGAGGGAGAGCGAGTGTGTGTGTGAGACTGATAGAATACCTAGAAATATAAAAGTAGTACGAGTTATGTCGAATTATATATAAATAATATGTATATACATAAATATGTATTATATATAAATATATACACATATCTAAAGAAGATCTATTGTAAACAGACAACATTTTACGCAAACAAATAGATATACTGAATGAGTAAGAAAAGTAAAAATGAGATTGAGAGATAAAGAAGAGAAGACTGATAGAAGATGAAGAGAATAAACAAAATAAAACTATTGTAAAAAGTATTGTAGCCCTCATCCACAACCCCCCCCCCTCTAAATGTGTTGGACATAACATATTCATACATGCTTAATTTACTTTTGTTAAGAAACGCAGTTAACAATTTGAGTGCTTATAATAATTTAATGGGTAAAACTAAACTAACTGTAATATGTGTAGATCTTTGAAACTGTTTTACGATCCATGTACACCAGGGATCTTATTTTTGCATTGTAAACAACAATAGGATTGTTCCAGTTACACGAATCCGACCAGGGCGTGCTATAAGCGCCGGCATTTATCCTGGCGTTTAATCGTCCTGTAATTGCAAGATGTACGCGCTAGAGTCGGTGCTGTATCATTAAAATTGAATCAAGGGGTGGCGAAGAGGGGTGTAGGTGGACACCGGGTGAATACGAAATCCGTCGAACGCGTAGGCGAGACGCCCACGCGCCACGACGTCTGGAAGGTCACAGGATAAAGGTCACCAATCACCGCAAATGCCTTTGTACTACGGCCCTTTCATGCCTAATTCTTGGCCTCACAATCACGCTTATAATATCCACTTTTGCCGATAAAAATTCGAAGATTGAACTTGGCCGTTCGCCATATGGGCAAAAACTTTCAGCGACCACGATGTGGAACCTCTGACTTCGTAAGGTCGCCTGATTAATTTGGCGCTTAAAGAACCCCATTACCTCAAGAAACTTCCAGAATATTTAAAAAATTATTACTTATTTGGTGCTAATGTTTTTCCTTTAATCAATCAAATGTTATCCAAAAAGCAAAATTTTGCATTTTGCAAAGCAGTTGAGATATGAAAAAACTACTGTTAACAGGTACAATATATTCTGTTACAGATCTTTCCGAATTTATAATCAGATCGTAGGTAAATCGGCTTTGATGGTAAGTTGTTAATCACCGTGTTTGTTAATCCAGTGATCTCACCAGAAATGATTTAACGCAGATTTGCCCCGATTATACCAATTTAGATGTGTTATGTAAGTAAAAGTGAGCCCGGCCGGGGTGAGTTACTGTTTCCGCTTTCGGTTTCGCCATAGATCGGTTTGGACTATAAGTTATTTAACCTACGGCTTACACCGATTCCAAATTACAGGTAGGCACTTTCTCGCCCACGTCGAAATCGACGCCCCGGAATGAATGGGGACGATCTGTTGTTTGGACGTTTTATCTCGTAAAAATTGCGATCTGGACAACCTCCCGGCAGACGGTGAAGTTGCGAAAGTACGCTGGGTGGTCTGAAACTTGATCTATTGGTGGCAGGACGGTTCAAAATGAACAGCCAGTATTATCTGTGCTGGCAACACGCGTTTCTCTTCAAAAATCCATTAACTTTAACACTCCTTTTTTTTCTTTTTTATCTCCACTTGTCAATATATTTGTGTTTAACTCCTCCTTTATTAACTATATATTAATCTCTTTTACAAATATTTTAATATTTATATTTTTCTCTATGTTCATGCTTTCATCTATACCTGCCTATTCATGATTATCATTAATTTGAAACATATATCATGGTTTCTACTCATTTCTCAATTCACTTCTTTCTCTATACCATCACTCTCTCTCTCTCTCTCTCTCTCTCTCTCTCTCTCTCTCTCTCCATCTCTCTCCTTCTGGTTCTTTCCCTCTCTCCCTTTAATTTATTTTCTATCTAATAGTTTTAAGAAACTATTTAGCTAATATGTTAACTGTCTGTCTATCTTTCTATTTATTTTTCTAAACATGAACCAGTTTATTTTTCTCATCGTATCCCGTTTTTCTCTTTTACTCTCTTAATTAATTAAATTAATTTACGAACTTAGCTCCTATTACGTGTCATCTTTACATGGAGAACGAATGAGTATCGTTTAATTTTGTTTTGTTTTACAAATCCCGCACAGTTAGATTGCAATCGACCTCTATTATAATTAACGAAAATTAAAAATAATTAATTTTAAATTTATAGACTTTCAATTTTAGTGTTTTATCTTGTGTGGGAGCGAGAGAGAGTGAGAAGGAAAGAGAGAGAAAGAGAAATAAAGAATGGCACACACATGTTTACCACGTATTATTATCTTAGAGTAAGTGTAAAATGGGAAAGGCAATAATACAGTAGGAGAGAGAAAGAGAGAGTGAGTGGGGGAGAGAGAGAGAGCGGGAGAGAGAGAAATGGGAAAGAGAGGGAGAATGAGAAGTAGGCGAAATAGATGAATAACGGCAAAGAAAAAAAGATAAAAGGAAAATAAAAAGTACTTTTATTTGTTTGAATAATTTTAAAGTTTATGCTTTAAATTTCGGAGTCTAGAAATCTGTATATTTTGCCGAGTTTATGGTTTTGGCACAATGAACAATCCAAGTTTTCGACCTCGAACGCCGGACGCAACCTTGTAACTCAAGATTTTCCACCTTTCTGCAGATTTTTAACCCTGCATTACTAGTTTTCTAATATAATGACATAAGTATGTTTTTAAGGTAAACTAAATTTGCCAACATTTGAACTAGAACCATCTCTGCAGACCCAATTGTTTTCGAGATAAAGCCTTTCCTATTTTATCGATTTTTTTTTAACTCGGACACAAGAGGGAGGCTGGACGTCTGCTAGTGATGAACCTATAATTTGGTCTGCCACGCGTTTTTTATTTTTACCATCTTCATTTTCTTGTTTTTTCATTGTTTCTGGACGTACACTAAAAATGAAACAGTAGGGAAGATGGCGAGAAACTGAAACGAGTGAGACATGCCGGAATAGCCGAGAGTATTCTTTTTATTAATTGAACTTTCCAATTTTTAAAAATTGATGTGACCTTCCGGAAAGTTGTAGAACAGTGCCTGCTTTTAGTTATTTATTTCTTTAAATGCAATAATATTACTAATGTCAGGTGGAATAATGGAATGTGGTAAATAAGAGAATTTTTATAAAGAAGATATTTTCTATACACGGTTTCTTCATCACTGTTTTATCGTCAGTTGTGATTTATCAGATACTGAAGTAATGACTCGACGTAAAGACGTATTAGAGTCAATGGTGCAAACGATCGAACGGCGGAGGAAATCATAAATAACGGAATGTCACAATAAAGGTTCAAGTCGTGACAACATAGGAGCGAAGGTATCAATTAATATCAATGAATTTGCGAACGTTACAGAGTCCACCCACCATTTTCGAGAAACCTATCTCGTATTAATTTTCGACGGGTGAACAATGCCGGAATGTGTCGCCTCGGTAGCCTATGTTCGAGCCCGGCTCAGCCATTAATATTTATGGAGCCCGCTGGTAGATAAAAAGGGAGATCTGCCCCTCTCGAGATGTCTATCTTCATGAAAGCGTCAAATAATTACGTGACGTCGACTCTGTGTTTATCCAATTTTCTATGGGACTCCAATTATAAATTCTATTGAATGTCTCCGTCACTATCTCGGATTGGACACGGTTTTTTGCATAAAATAGCGGACGTGCAATCCGAGCCACGACAGGGATAACACTCGTTCCTCGGCTAATCTTCCATTGTTCTTCTTAAAAGCCGTTTGTAAACACAATACCACACCTGCCGACGTGGGACGTATTATAATTAACAATCTCGTTTAATTCTCTTCCGTTCATCCGTCAAGACATGGGAGACTTTTAAAAGTTCAAAGTCAAACGTTTGATTGACAGACAATGCCCATTCATAGTGACATCATGCTAAATGCATTTTTTATCATAAAGATAGTTATGATGGTTAAATTTGCCATCATATAAGGGGGATGTTGTATAAAATCAAAACAAAGATTTCGGTCCACTTTTTCCAACAGAATCATCTCTACTTTTTCTTGCAATATACGACACATTTTTACGATTTGTGCAGAATGTCGAAGACTATAAACGAATAAACGAAACTTTATGGTGATGCTTTTTAAAATAAATTTTTACTATGTATTAAAATATTTCGATTTTTTTATGATTCAAAAGCCTCAAGGATTAACAAATCAATTTTTATTTATGTCTTGATTGTCAAACAAGTTTTATTTTTTTATAATTAACCGACAGCCACAGCGTTTGCAATTCACAATAAATTGCCGGCAGGCCTCGAGAATCACCTATCTCGGGTGTTGACAGTCCGGAGTCAGACCGCGATCATGTCCGTCCAGACTTCAAGCTTGGGCTCTAGGGGCTATCAGCAGTTAGGCCATTTCAGCTCACAACGCAATCAGTTCCTAAATCCGTTCACAATCTCATTCACCCTTAAAGACATTTTTACTTATTATTCACTTAGTTATGGTAGTGGAATACCCGAAATTCCGCCATCGACCATCTCGCACTCCCCATTCTCGCTAATAAATACATTCAGTTCCTATATTCACAAAAAATCACAAGACCGAATATTTATAAAGTACTATATACGGTAAAACAGTCCTGTTGACTAAAATGTCTAAAAATCGGAATAGGGGATGGTTAGGGATGGTTAAGGACATTGCCGTGCTCAAACTTAATCGTCATAAGGGTGACATTCCTACAAGCTCTCTATATGGAAGAATGGCCCATTTCAATTAGTTAAGGCAGATCGAGCAACCTTTCTCTACATGCGGGACAAATAGGCAGGCTTTGGCCCAAAAATAAGTGTCCTTGTGTCAACCCCGCATGTCCTATTCTTAATCGGATGAGGATGACCCTTCTTCTACTCAGTTCCTCCGAGATCCACCTATTGACAGGGCAATTTATACGTAAAAAGACACATTAAATAAAAAATATTCTTATGTAATTGTGTTTTAGTTGTCTCCTTGTTGGAACTCTTATGAAAACAACCTATTGAGGAAAAAATAACAATAACAATATTATTAATTTATGTGAATATTTTTTACAAATATTTAAGCTTTTTTACTTCAGATGAACTTTTTGTCATATTTATCTATTCCGCGACATAGTGCCTTGGAGGAGCTGAAACTTTTTTGTTCAAAACAAATTTGAACTGAATTTTTAATCTCTAGTTTTAATTTGTAATGTTTTGATTTGTGTATGAAGATGATAAATTTTTTGGTGGCGAGGGGTTAAAAGGTGCTTATGTAAAAAACTATTTTGTATTTTTTTTATAGATTGTAGTTATTACGTTTGTTTTACAAGTTAAACACCATAGTTTTCACTAATACTGTATATGGTTATTTTAAAAATTACAGAAATTAATTAAAAAGCAAAGAATGGAGAATAGGGCCTTTGGTGACTAAATTAGATTAATTAAGAATCAAGTATAGGCCTACACACTTAACTGTGATTGCCCACCTCACCCTTTTGGTTCCACCCATTATGTATTGATATAAAATTTCTCTTCGTTGGGTGAAAGCGATAGTTTTTGTTTTGTTCTCTATTACTTTTAGTTTCCGTTTTGGACAAAATCTCCTTACTGTTTGCATTCCTAGTTTTTACGAAAGTAGGAACAAAGCTAGCCAGAACGTGCCCAATTCACGAAACAGAATAGTGCCTGTTGTAACAAGGAACCGTTCCGTCCCGGGAACACAAGCAGTAATTTGTGAGAGTAGGCGGTTGTCCCCAAAACCCTTCATCGCATCATTTTATAGATGTGTCCTTCCGGAGCCCTCACTATAAATAACAGCATGGGGTCGGACATAATTGTTCTTTATGGGATGTGGAGGGGAGACGCGGATATTTATGTGGTCGGCGGCTTGCTACACGGGCTTGCTCAGTTTATGTCCTCAACTGTATTAATGGAACCCCTTCTCCTCGGGTCGTCACCGTCGTTTTCATTGTTCACTTGCCTCGGTTTGTCTTCTTAATGGTCACCAACAACATACCGAACCTATACGCCCGAAGAGGAACATGGCCAAGATCTTCATAACTACTTATTGTTATGCATCGTTTATGAAAAAAAATCCAATCCAATTCAAAATTGCGTCTTTTCCTTGCTCTTATTTTTTTAAATATGTGTATTTTAAATCAAGAAATATTATTCATTTTCAAACTTTCACGAATGCACTTAATGGTGCATGTAGTTATAATAATTATACTATAGATTAAAAAAGAATGATCCAGAGCTTATTAGCCTCATCCCAAATCGTATTTTTTAAATGTATAATTATAATTTTTTATGGTTAATAGCAATTATACAGGCTGTCCCGTGAACAGGAAGTGATACAATATCAACTAAAGTTGATGCAACGTCAAATTAGACTAAAATGGCCTTTTTGTCCAAAGTTCAATTGCATTCCAGATATTTCACTTTTCAAGTCCTTCATAATTTTATTCCAGATAGTCCCCTGAATCTGCTTCTAAATGTTTAGTCTCGCATCACGACTTAACAATTTTACATAAAAGCTTCAGACATAAAAAATTAGCTTACCAACTTTTTATTTATTATCATTTTTATTATTATTTTTATTTTCATGAACAGGCGTCAATAATTAATTTTTGTCCAAAGTCTGATTTTCAATTGTATTCTATATTTTTCGCTTTTCAGGTTACTTCAACCTTTCACAACACTATTCCATATAACCCCCCTCCCATCTCATAAGATGATAATCCTACTGAGCATTTCATTACATAATTTGATTAAAAAATTGATAGAATTTTTATTTGTGAATATTACGGGTTCATATAAAGTTATTAACAATATACAGTTGCACGTGAAACTTAAATTTAAAATTATTTGAAAGTGACAATTGAAAAATATTGTTTGCAGTTTACAAAATAAATTTGTACTAGTAAAATTTTGGAAGTTTTTTGCGAAACCATCCGTAAAGATTCAGTCACTGTATACATGTTTTCTTTTTCTTGTTTGGAAAATTAAATAAAACGTATCGTTAATTTTATTTAACGTTTTCAAGGAATTGAGAAAAACTAATTATTGCAATGTTTGGAGCACTTATGCTTGGAAAACTGCCATTTTTTTCTATGTTGAGTAGTTTTTGAGAAAACGAGGGTCTTTTTAAAAACCTAAAGTTTTTAAAAACCGATTTTCATCTTGTTTTCGCCAGTTTTCATATAATCGAATTGAATTAAAGAATCCGCAAATGAAACGTATGTCGCCATTTCAAAAACAAGAATTCCCTTTGTTAACTTTTTAAGAAATCGAAAAATGTAATTATTGTCATTTTTAAAAATCGTGCTTGTGTAAAAAGTTAATACATGTTTTATTTGTTTTTCTATATTTTTAGGAAACGAGGGAGAAAACAAGTAAGCCGACACTCTGTATATCGTAGGTATTTGTTTGTATTTTGTGAGTACTCGTTTTAATAAAGTAATTTTGCAGAACTAAAAGCGAATAAAATGTGTATATTGAGTTGTGAATAAACTTTTTTTGTGAATAAACAAATTGAGTAGTACTGGGCCAAAAATGTGTGAAATTCGAGAGGAAATTTTTGTGTAAGTAAAGCAATTTAGGTGTACAGGTCTAATAATGTATGAAATTTATGTTATCATCTTTTGGAAATACAGAAATTTAGTAGTACTGGACCAAAAATGAAAAACAAATTAAGTTGTCATTTTATTAAAATAAAATAATTAATTTCACACGACTAAAAATGAATAAAATTTAAATTTACTTTATTCTGAATAAAGAGACTGAGCTGTACAGGACCAAAAAGGAACGAAATTTAGGTGGATTTTTTTAATCGAATTCAACGATTTGGCCGTACAGGACTAAAAATGTTGGAAATTTAAGTTGACATTTTTTCAAAAAATACAAAAATTTAGCTGTGCAGAACTACAAGTGAATGCAATATAAGTAGACTTTTTGTGAACAAATAAAATTTATAGGAAACATGGAGGACACTAGTAAGTTGACTCCCTGATAAATTAGCTTATTGTTACCAAGACATATTTCTTTCTTCCACAGCATAAAATGTTGTATTACATTGTGAGACCACTTTAAAAATAAGTAATAATATTTTAAGCATAATTAGATATTTAGGGAAATTTACGTCGATCCAATGATTACGTTTAGAGTGTTTTACTTTGCGATATAACGTGTATTTACGCACACTGTATCGTATAAAAGTCAATAATTTTTGAGACACAAGAGACGTTTTCAGGAATAACACACTGGACACCAGCACGGACAGTTGTGCAGCTCTGCATTTTCGTAAGAAAGCGCTTTGATTACGTTTTGGTTGTTTATAATAAAAGTATTGAAGGGAGGATAAAAACTGTTGTAAAAACAGAGACATTTTAATTTCATCAAAACACTTTTAACTATGACAGCTACCTAACTATCCCTTATATGGGATTAGATACGGTGATTTGAATCATCAATTTAATCTGAGAATATGGATTAAAATATAAATTTGTTTTGTAACTAGCGTGTTATTAGATTAATTAAAGAACTGCAATAACATTTTGGAAATTATTATTACATTTTATCACATGTGACCTATTACGTAATATCGTGAAACACTATGCCTGTTTAACTTATTGTGGCTCTTCTCCAATCTAAACTACAACGATCTATCACCCAGAGGCCGCTCGTTTGTATATACAAAGCTCAACCCACCCAATGTGCGTCATGAAATCCGAGATATTTACACACGATCATGACAAACTGTTTTCTGGAAAGAATTGTGGCCATCGCCGGGGCTGTAACAAATTCGCGAGGCCTGAACCAAGACGAATGGAAGTTTTAGAGAGAGAGGGACATCTATAAATCCGCACATTGTCACCTAAATTATAGACGCCGGATAGAGCCAAATCTATTATCTGCCAAAGCTGTTGCTGGGAGATCGCGGACCTTGGCTTCCAAAAGGGAAAAAACAGAGAAGTAATTCGAGATAAATTTTAAGCCTACTTTAAACTATAAATTCACACAGATTAAAAGATTCTTTTTCCCCTTGGTTTCAAATTTATTATTCAAGCAGTTGGCACCTCAATCACCATCGGTCACTTTGACAACATAAAAGTTGAAGCAAAAAAATGTGCTCCAAGAAGACCTGGAACGTCATTTCTGCTACATTAAACCGAGGGATGCTATTAGCACTTGAGGATTGTCATCTCTGTCACCTGTCAACTGTTTGCACCTGCGTTCGCTTTGTTTCATTTTAAACATGCAAAAGTAAAAGAATAATTACGATTTTGCCAAAATAACTGTAAGTTTGATAAAGTTTGTAAAACGTTTTATATAACTTTAGAAAATTGGGTTTTCCCTTCATTTTTCACGGTCCTACCAGTTTTTTAAAGTATTAAAATAACTCAAATATATTTTCCCTCTGCTCTTACGGCTCATTGACAGGAACACTCGGGCACGATTCTAATATGTTTTGACTGAGTATTAGTAAAAAAACTTTTAAAGCCTTTACTGGTCCCCCAAGAAATATGATTTTTACGGGTGCTTTTCAACGACGAGGTCATATCAGCCCTGGAAGCTCCGGTGTTTTTGAAAAATAGGATATTTGGGGTTCAAATTCGAACCCTTATTTTAGAGCGATAAGTCGCTACGCTATGTCAACGCTCTAACCGTATAAGATGTCATAGATTAATTATTTCATCAATCATAGAATGATATAATTTATTATGTGTTATTATGACTCTCTTCAGGCTTCCCAATTTAAGATAAAATTTTTTATAAATAATGAAAATCTCTTCTCGCTAAATCCTTAGATTTAATAGACGATGGATTTGTCTAACTACTCTAAATTGTCAGATTTTTCATGAAAAAATGATTCGGTTCTCTTCTTATATAATTGTAAATTAATCAATGGAGAAATTGGGCCGTGTGGTCGCCAGTTCAGCTTATGTTCCCTTTTTCCAGCCTCGATTAGACAGGACTTCAACCATTTATTCATAGAACTTTGACCTGTCCTTAATTGGCGTCATATTTAACGGCTAATTGTCTTCTCAGATCGATCTCGCGATTAAATATGAATGGCTTTAAATATATAATGAATTTATTCATGCGACGAGTTTACGTAATTTTAGAGAGCAAAGTCTCTCTTCAGGACCATTCTAATGAAGGTTAAATAGTACAGCTACAATTTCGTTTTTTCTTTTCTTTTTTTTAAATGTATATGTATTGTGTGCCTACAAATTAAAATATATATGTAATATACACGTATTAAATTTAAGGTAGCTTTTTCGAATAAAGTAATTTAGCTATACAAGACTAAAAATATTTGAAATTTATGTTGAATTTTGTTTTAATAAACCAAATTAGCTGCATATGACAAAATGTGTCAAAATTGAGTTGACTTTTTGTGAATAAAGGAATTTAACGGTAAAAAACTTAAAATGTAAGGAATTTAGGTTGAAGTTTGTTTTAATAAGACAATTTAGCTATAAATGTACAAAAGGGCCTGTAAATTGACTTTTTGTGAATAAAGCAATTTAGCTGTACAAGACTAAAAATACATGATATGAGTTGACCTTTTCTGTGAATACAATTTTTTATCTGTAATGGACCCAGAATGTGTGAAGTTTAAGTTAGTTTTTATTTTAATAAAGAAACTTTACAATTAAACAGCAAATTTAAGATCACTTTTTGTGAATAAAGAAATTTGGCTGTACTAGAACAAAAATGTGCGAAATTTAAATTGAATTTTTTTAATAAAGTAATTTCTCTGTAATTGTCTGAAATTGTATGAAATTTAAGTTGACTTTTATTAAATAAAGAAATTTAGCTACAATGGGCCAAAAATGTGTAAAATTTAAGTTAAATTATTTGTGAATAAAGAAATTTTGATGTGAAAACAAAAAATGTATGAAATTTAAGTTAACTTGATGGTGTGAACGAAGCAATTTTGTTGCACATGTCTAAACATTTAAAATAACTGATCTTTAAATCAGTTCTATTTATGTCCGAATTCTATCATGCAGTTCATATCATTTAATATTCTACAGCCAAGAATTATCTTGATTATTTTTCATATCCAGGCAAAAGAAGTTTTGAAATAACGCTCTCCCTTAAGAGAGAACATGTCCTGTTTCAACTGACCCTTTAGGCCCTGAACCAGATACCCTGCTGGGTAAAATAATGTGCGTATCTTTGAGCGGGCCCCGTCTCTATACCCCGAAAATAATTATGCTCGGCAACTTTTTAATGCGTCAGTCTCCTGAAAAGTATTTTATGGCCTGGAGAATATATCAATGTGGAATAAAGAAGGGTAGAGAGAAATACGAGGGGTTGGCACTATTAAGAATTTCGAGTTAAGCTGTAAAGGGGGTTCGGCACCATGCTGGGCTCGCATAAAACAGTCAATTACCGCCTCATGGTTTAATTACCGTCAACCTGTTATCTTAGAGATAAGGAGCCCGGCCCTTCTTCGGACCTTTGAAGGAGTATGATAAAATCAGATGACTAGGCCTAATGGCGTGGAAAACGGTCGGGCATCTGCTGGTAACAAGACATGTCACACTTCCTAAGAAAAAAAATACAGCCAATCATGTACGAGGATATTGTTATCATCTATGATGATAATAATGGTTCTTTCAACCCAGGCTGGACGATCTTTTCATGACCGTGCTTGCCTTTTTGTTATTTTTTTAGCAAAAATTTATAATTTTAAAACAAGAATTATCCATACTGTCCATTCTAAAATACACTGTATTTGATACGTAAAAATAGAAACCGAAAGTTAAAAATAAGCATCTGCAATTAACTATAAAACATATTTTCAAAATAGACCAAAACAGCAAGATTTGGTGACAAAAATTATAGAATCCGAGGAGCAAATTCATCATCAAAATATAGATAAAAATTGAATAAATTTGATAAAAGGCGAAGTACATAATACACAAAACAAAAGTTGACTAAAAAAAGAAAGGTGCAATGATATTAACTTTTTATGTTCATACTTGGCTTAACCACGTTTTTAATTTTTTTGTTTTACCGATGATTTTCTCGCTTTTCCGTTCTTACTTAATTGTTAAGTTTAATCAATCATGATATCCTGCAGATTTAACATTGAACAACCAGATCTCATCAATAATTGGCCAGATAAAAATATTTGTTAGTGGAAATATTAAAGTATGTTTATTCTTTGTTTATTTTTTGCCTAAATAAAACGTTACACCCTTTTCAAAACTGTCGAAATGGAAATTTGAGGCTTCACCGATCTCGCTAATGGGAGTGAGTTATGCCCGTTGTCGGAAATGACCCAATTTGTAGTCGGTCAGAATAATTGTTCTACAACCCCCCGCCGTGTCCAGGTAGCCAGTTTTGACTTCTTCAGCATCACGTTATGCCTCAT